CTGCCTTCTCCCCTCTCATTCGGACTTCTCGCCACTCATATCTTTTCCCCTGGTCGTGGCTTCCCCTCTCTCATTCCGATTTCCCCTCCCTCTCATTCGGACCTCCCCTCCCTCTCATTCCGATTTCCCCTCCCTCTCATTGCGACTTCCCCTCATTCATTCCGATTTCCTCTCCCCCTCACTATAACTTCCACTCCCTCTCATTTCGAGTTCCCCTCATTTCAATCCGACTTCCACTCTCCGATTCCGCCTCCCCCCTCTCAATCCTCCTCCCCCCACTATTTCCGCATTCCTCCTCTATATCTGCACTCCCCCGTGCGGATTCCACATTTCTCTCCTCATTCCCGTATTTCCCCTCCAGTGCCGCATTTCCCCGCTCTTCCCACATTTCTCCTCTTGTGCCGCATTTCGCCGCACCTTACCCGCATTTCCCCTATCATTCCGCATTTCCCCTCTCATTCCACATTTACCCTCTCACTCCGTATTTCACAAGCTATGCCTCCGTCACGTACCAAAGTAGAGGCCTGCAGAAATGGTAGCCACTCGCACCGCCCTATTTCTATACGAGCTACAGTGGTGGCCTTACTGGCAATCTGGCTTGTGGTTTTCAGTACGCCAACTATGGTTTCCCCTAGTATCTCGGACAGTCTGAGTCTCAATGCCTTGGTGTTTTCGGAGGAGAGGTGACGGGGAGAGGTGTGGACGAGTTTCAGTTCTGCCGACAAATTCGACCCAGTTCAGCAACTCGGGAAGGCAGAGTGGTTTCGGACGGTGGAAGTGGTTTGTGATTGCTCCCATTGCTCGTCAAGTGCACATGCTGAGAACTTCCAGGGTTAGCTAGTGGCGGCGTGCTGGCGAGTTCCGTGTCTTCGCGACCCTGGGTTTGCTTTCGTTAATTGTTTTCGCGAGCCTGGGGGATTCGCCAACTTCCCAAACCTCGTCCCTATCTTTTGCCGAGCCTCAACCAGCGTTGACCTGACTCGTTTCTCTAATCTGGGGCCTGGGCTTTAATGGGGATTGAGGAAACTAGGGTCGTGTTTCCGTATTCGGGATGCCCTTGTTTGTGTCATTCGGGAAGCCTGAAAATGTACGCGATTGGTTCTCGAAAATGACAGACGCCTCGAATGCTGCTGACACGAGGATTTGAACATGACCGTTTTCGTAAGACATAATGGATGGAAATGTTTGCACAGTACACGTGCCTGCGTACAGCTTGCTGGAGGTCCAAATAGCAACATTTAATTGGCCGTTGGATCGCCATCTGGATTGCGACCCCATTTCATAGGGACTGAGTGGCATACAAGGCAGTAGTGGATTTCGGAAAAATAATTGGCGACTTTCGTCCAACCACTCCCAAATCGCAAGGGACCTTGTCAAAAAATTCATTGGCAGACGGAGCGTTTAGCGACGTTGACCGTACGCACTACAGTAGTTGTACGCCGTACGAACGGAGTACAGCGTGTTGGATCCTACCAAATTATGGATGGTAGGATAGTATCTGGATAACAATGTCGATGACTTAATGGCATACCTGCTGTACAAGTCATATGCGATTGGTGCAACGACGACAAGCGCAAAATTTTATCAGCTGCAATTATTCTTTGGGTGCAACACCCATGTACGCACCCGGCCAATGAAAACACCCTAAACACCAACAAAATTCACCGTTACGATCCACACACTCACAAGCTGACGCGGAAACACCACGCTAGCCAATCGACAAACGCCATCTGCGATGACGGAATCATGTAGAGTTCCGCCACGTACTCCTCCTCGTCGACGTGTGCTGTACTTTCAAAATGAAGGTGGTTTTTATCGTTGTTTTAGGTTGTTCTTTGCTGTTTCCAACTTCATATAGTTTTGAGTCTGTCTATAGTCGAATCAATTGGCGGTTTGGAGTCAAATCTTGTTTTGTTCTATTGTAAAAGCATCAATCAGCGTGCGCACCTGAAATCCATAGTGGACACGCCATGCGAACACCTCGCGGCATGCCTACGTGGACCCTGTCACAGCTAACGACAGCGTCCCCACCCCTGCTAGCTGCGCATACGACATCGCTCCTACTTTCTTGGGAACGCTACAAGCAAAGTTGCCTAGGGAGTACCGCCCTATGCGCTAAGTGCCTCATTCCAACATTCTTGGAGTTTGCACTACGGAATACGAACTGTGCACCTATCACGCACTATTTTCTCATTCCTCTTTAGCTTCTCGTGTTCTGCAACTGTCGACCGTACCTTGTCGATTGCGCAACTGGGCCTTGTCGATTGCGCTACTGGGCCTTGTCGTATGCATTACTGTATCTCGTCATTTGCGCAACTGTAGCGCAACTGTTGCTGGGTAGGAAAATGGCGCGGGTTAGGTGTACAGTCAATACACAACATACAAGTCATATACTGAGTGCGACCCCCGACTTCGATTTTGATGGACCGCGTTGGCGTAATGCGCGCACTTTTTTGCCAGCCTTTGCCACGGGAAAATGGGCCATTAAGTGGACACTTACAGTGACGAAAACAATTGTCTGAATGTTTTGCATTAATTAGGGTTTTTGAGCTTTCCGACCACTGTACGTAAAGTCTTATTGTTTAATGGTGGTATGCTTTAGGAGGGGCACATAGTGGATATTTTCACAGCACTCAAATCCATGATCGTATACAGGATCTAACTTAGTGCCAAAAGATATGCAAAGAGTACATCCGGACAATTGTTTCTCAGGACAAAGAGCAAACATTCGAGCAGCGTTTCTAGTACCTAGTCAACCGACACTTGGACTTGATCACCACCTACACCCTCCTATGCATGTTATCTTCGAGGTTAGTGCAAACCTTTACAGGGATCTTCTCGCACTCTTCCTGGACCCACACTTTTGCATAAGGGGGTGAGCACTAGGAAAATCGCCAAGGATTTGAGAGTATGCAAGAGTATGGTGCACGATTTCAGATTGGATGTTATCTCTAAGACTAGCCATGCTGAGGTGTGGCCAAAGATGCCATTAGTCGATTGGTCTCGTCTTATCATGGATCGTCTTCATCGTACCATTGTAGGTAAAAATTACGAGCAGAGTGGCGAAAACTAGCGTATCTGCCACAAAACTTGGGGTAACATAGCACGGTCGACAGTGCATCCTTGCACTATAAGAATCGCGCTAGGATCTGTAGGTCTCGTCACGGTGCAGCAGTCAAAGTAGTCGCGACTGTTCAGAAAGAATATCCGGGTTGAGATCTGGTGAGGAAAAGGGTCACTCCAACGTAACATACTCGTGTTCTCTAAGCCATTCTAAGCCATGTGTCTTGCCTAGGCTTGGAATGGCTTGGAGAGCATGAGTTTATAGCACTGGAGTGACCCTCTTCCTCACCAGACCTGAACCCGGATATTTTTCCCCACCTGTCGGGGCTTCTTTGACTGCTGCACCGTGACGAGACCCGTAGATTTTAACGCGATTCTATTAGTGAATGGGTGCACAGTCGACCGTGCTATGTTACCCTAAGTTTAGCAGCGGACACGCTAGTTTTCGCCACTCTGCTCGTAATTTTACCCTACAACGGTACGACTAAGAAAATTCATGATAAGATGGGACTAATCGACTTATGACATCTTTGGCCACACCTCAGCATGGTTAGTCTCAGAGATAACATTCAACATGAAATCGTGCACAGTACTCTCAAATACTTCGCGATTTTCCTAGTGCTCACCCCCTTATGCAAAAGTGTGGGTCCAGGAAGAGTGCGAGAAGATCCCTGTAAAGGTTTGCACTAACCTCGTAGATAACATGCCTAGGAGGGTGTAGGTGGTGATCAAGGCCAAGTGTCGATTGACTAGGTACTCTAAACGCTGCTTGAATGTTTGCTCTTTGTCCTGCGAAACAATTGTCCGGATGTACTCTTTGCATATCTTTTGGCACTAAGTTAGATCCCATGCACTATCATGGATTTGAGTGCTGTGAAAACATCCACTATGTGCCCCTCCCATAGTGTACCACCATTAAACATTAAGACTTTACGTACAGTGGTCGGAAAGCTCAAAAACCCTAATAAATGCAAAACATTCAGACAATTGTTTCCGCCACTGTATGCTTTCGTGAAATCGTAAATCTGGTGTTAGAATTTGTAGCATGATCAGATGAATATCTCAAGAGTACGTCCTACAAAATATGTAAGAGTCACATTACGGTGCACCACGTTGATGCGCGGTTACTGTGTAAAATTAGGGGGGCGTTTTGTTTGAGCTCATTTGCATGGACACGTTTGCCGCCACCGTGTCGTAGGTGCCACAAAACCCACGTGAATGGGCCATTAGGTGAAACAGTCATTGCCCGTAATTGGAGGGTAATGGGCGCAGGTTGGGGGAAGGGTCGGTCCAATGTTCAAGCGTCCGGTGGACCCTTGGTATATTACGTAAGCACAAACTCCACGATTCTTATAAATTGTACATAGGGGGTAGGGCCTTAAGCCCGAGTCTAGAATGGCACGCTATCAAGTTCTGGAAACCTGAACTTGTTTTCGTATAGTAGAGGTAACCTAGTTCAGGGGACCGTCACGTCGCAACCCTCGGGGAAATGGGGTTGCTTGCGAAAGCCGATAGAAACGACAAACCACGAACGCACTGTTCACTCATACTGAACATGAAAACGCCCGCAACCATTCGGAACGCATTTTCTTGGGAGACTCGCGACTAGAGACCAGAAAACCTTCAGCACCGTGTAATGACGTAAAGAAATGGCGTCCCGTGATTCACTTTATGCACGCCCTTAGATCGCATTCTGTAGTTCGACGACACCAAAGTTTAGGGTGTGGTACATACGATCATGAACGGAGCACCGTTCGAACTGTCAGAACGGTAAAGAGATTTTTAGAACGGTTTTGGCTTTTTCCAGCTTGAAACTCGCGTGGTACACTATGGTCGAGTTACATGGGAAGTCGTGATTGTTGCTCCTGGGTTTTGGGAGGGGCAGTACCCAACCTGGACAACACAGCATGCGATTTTTTGTGAACGTTGTTGCGACCCCTGTCCGGCATGGTGCGAACGAATCTCCATCACGAACGTTGGCATGATAGAACGCTCCTGGGCGGCTTCCTGCTCGGTAAAAGAATGCACGAAACTGGGTACGATGGTGTAACTGAGTGTTGAAACACATTGCGACTTGGCGAAATGGGGCCAGTCGTAGCAAATTGAAATATAACGTAATATTGTAATCGCTTGGCATCAGGAAAATGCCTTTATTGCTGCAGTAAATAAAAATAAGCCTAAATATTATGGGTATCTGGAAACGATTAGTGCAATTTTGCTCGTGGCCTATCGCCCAAATCACAAAGTTCAATTTCCAATATTCTTGGAGTTTGCGCTTAGAGTATGACACATACGACCAACTGAGAAGTAGCCCCTTGGAGGCCGTTTGACGGCCAATTTTCCATCGGCACGACAACGATGATTAGGCATGTAGAACATCGAATGAGACTTCAATCGTTCTCTAAAATCCCCAGGCGACATCTGACGTTAGTAGGCAACGAGGTTGGTGTGGTTAGGGATTTCTGAACCTCAAACACCCAAGTCACGTGACTCTTTCCGTTCCCCTCCGAGTATGCCGCCCATAGTTCTTAGGCAAACATCGCGCCATACCTTTGTGGCACACCATACCACTAAAATCTTGCTATGGAGCAAGGGGCGATTGGAATGGCATGCCCAACTGTCCAATCTCTTACGTCTCATTGGCCAATGCTCACCCAACTTTCATCAAATATGATTTTGGAAGGTTCAACGGTTCTCAGGAGAATTTTCTCTCCTTTGATGTATGTAACTGTACATTGTCGGCAAATACGTTCTACTCATTCCTGCAATCTGGTCCGCTGATATCATTAAACTTGACTGTCTTAACTACTAGTCTGCTCGGGCACGGAATAAAATAACGAGTACATTCTTTCACATAACTTCTGTCCGCCCGAAAGATGGTCGCCCGTGCCTTTTCCCGTGCCCCTTCGTAAAGTGCTGTCGAATGGCCCCCTGGCTTGCAGCCGTAACTACATAAGCATGGGGAAACCTTACCCCCCAAACAGCACCTTCTCAGTCGGCACATCTGCTAAACAAACGCCCTAAAGACAACAGCCTGGGGGTGAGGAAACAGGAAGAACCCAATGATTTTGGAGGGGCAGGCCATGTAAAACTTTTGTGTCCGCCCTATTCTAGCTTGGTTGTGCTCGAATTTCGTTCTCAAATTGCCCATGCCTCCCCACTCGTGACTTTGCAAAAACTGCCGCGAAGCTCACCACAATCCCCACCCTATTTATTTGTTCGGGGATTTCATAAAATTATACAGCGGCTTCCAAAAACGAAGGGGCAAAAAGTGATGCTGAACAGGACCAATATGAAAGGCGGGTATGCACATGGAAAAATATGTGGTCCGTGGAGTTTGCCGATCCCCCCTTCATGTGATGGGTTGAGGAGGGGATGGGTTTGTTGCTGGAAAGCAGCTACAATTACTGTAAGTTGGGATCACATGTGAAGAAGGGTTGAACTGCACTATAGCAGCTGCAGCTAAACGAAGTCTAGTGGTACGACCCAGACCTTATTTTCTGGTTTGCTGGTCCAGAACATCTCACTGGGTGCTCGAACCGAGATCCAATCTAAGAGCATAACTGTATCGAAATAGCATAAGCAGGAACTAGCATGGAACAAAGCCCTAGCGAACTGGGCCACGGTGACCTCACTGGCTTGCTGACCCAATTTGCATGACAAGCCCTCAGGACTGTGCCACGTTCATGGCTCTCGGTAGGCCCAGAGCATTCTGTAGGGAAACGGAATTGGTTCGAGAAACACCCTTGAGCGGACAGAATGTCCGACAGTACACCCTTTAGTTAACAGATTCGTCTAAGAACTTCCATTTTGTGCCTTACTATCATTCTCACATACAAATTGCCTTTTCTACGCCTTAGGGTGTGAGGTGTTTTCGCTCTGACAATGCTTCAGTTGGCTCGCATGACCATGCCTACGAAACATCGGGTTGGGAATGAAACTGCTTTAGTAGAGGAAAGAAGGGGTGCAATTTACCACCATTGTCAGATTTCCCTCTACTAGTGCACTTTGTATGGAATCGAGAAGATGTGACACCTTATGCCAAGGAATCAAATGAAACTCAATCAGTTATGTGGACAAAAAAAACAAAAAAAAATCTCTTAATTTCTCCACATTAAGCCCACCACCCAAATTGTTCGTGCTTCGGAAACTTGATTAGCATCAGCCATATGGGTTGGGAGTCACGGTATGAGGGGTTTCGAGAAACCTCTCACCATTTTATTTGTTTCGCTGAGTCTGCAATACCCAACAGCAATGGTTGGGTTTGGATGAAAGAGTCCTAAGCTGCAATGACAAGCAGTTTCAAGTTGCCACGCGCCAATCCATGCAAATCTCGTGTTCAATTTCTTGGCCTATCTGGTGCCTTTGTGATAGAAGAAGACGAATAAGAAGAAGAAGAAGAAGAAGACGAAGAAGAAGAAGAAGAAGAAGAAGAAGAAGAAGAAGAAGAAGAAGAAGAAGAAGAAGAAGAAGAAGAAGAAGAAGAAGAAGAAGAAGAAGAAGAAGAAGAAGAAGAAGAAGAAGAAGAAGAAGAAGAAGAAGAAGAAGAAGAAGAAGAAGAGAAGAAGAAGAAGAAGAAGAAGACAAAGAAGAAGAAGAAGAAGAAGAAGAAGAAGAAGAAGAAGAAGAAGAAGAAGAAGAAGAAGAAGAAGAAGAAGAAGAAGAAGAAGAAGAAGAAGAAGAAGAAGAAGAAGAAGAAGAAGAAGAAGAAGAAGAAGAAGAAGAAGAAGAAGAAGAAGAAGAAGAAGAAGAAGAAGAAGAAGAAGAAGAGTAAACAACAACAACAACAACAACAACAACAACAACAACAACAACAACAACAACAACAACAACAACAACAACAACAACAACAACAACAACAACAACAACTGCTTCAGGTTTCAAGTTTGTAAAGCTTGAACTAGCTCGCAATTTGGGACGCGAGCTTTCAGGTTGATTCCTCTAAGAGCCTCAGTCACGCTGTGCCCTTGTTTCATCTGTGTCACCCTAGTCCTTATGCACATACACAACAATTGGGTCGCCGTGGCCAGTGCGGAAACGCTTCCATAAAAGCACCGTCACTAAATGCACAAAAGCTTGCAAATACCCGACTTCAAACACTGGGCTTAGATTAGAGGAAACGAGGGAAACGATTTCAGGAAAGCTTGGTCATATTTTGCTCCCTTCCAACGAGCACACTCAGGGCATTAGGTGAGGAGAAGACGCCCGTGTACTCACCAAATGACAGCCCACCGAAAGTAAGGACATATGATGGCGACACGGGTGAACACGCCTCCCTGCTGCCCCAAGTGGTGGTGGTGCTGCTGCTGGGCATGGTGCAGCAAGGGGCTGTGTCTCTCCAAAGGACCAAGCAGCGGGCATGCAATGCACTGCAAGTTCTCCCTCTGCAGCTGCTGCTAAAATCGTTGACTGAACCACGAGCCATAAAGAAGAGCAACGAATGTGGTGATCTCAACTCAGGCAATGGATGTCATGTGTGAGAGGTTAATACTCGAGGAAGATGTAATTGTTACAGCACAACTTGTTGTTTCTCTTCAGGGCTGAACTCGATGTTTTATTACCGGCACAGTGTCCAGACTCAATATGAAGCCTTTATTTTGTAAGAAAGGGCTTTAAAGCACCAGGGCGTGCTCGAAGCTAACAATCCACCCAAACGTGGAATTGCTTAGTTGGTCGCCCAACTGGCACCCAGTTTTGGGAGCAACTTTGCAACACTCCATTTTGCTCAGCAAAGACAGAAATACATGCCAATACGAATTCAGTACATACCCTGAACCAAGGAGCCCCATTGAGCCTTGAATCACATGGCGGATGGGAAATACAAGGCTCATCATACTGAGTGCACTACACTACCACTTCACTTTTGTGATTGTAGTTGCTTTAGTGAAAACGATCTTCCATGTTCGAATCTCCACAAAAGGCCTTTCACGAAATTTGAACTGTTTCACCAACCTCCGCAACCCACATCCTCGTCACACCCACACCCTAGACAGCAGCCCCTAGGTTTCGCAATCGTTGAATGAAGTAACTTCGTTCACCATGAATTACCCGGAGCCTATTTTGTCAACATATATTTGTATATGTTGTAGGCTAGATAGGTGCGTGCTCTAAAACCACCCTGTATCACTCATTCTAGTTCATTGCGTTATTCTAAGATGGTATCACGCTAGGTTAGGTACCCCTCCCCGCTTACGCTTCCGCCCCTAGCCCTAGCCCTAGCCCTAGCCCATGTCCTAGCCGTGTCCTAGCCGTGCCCTAGCCCTAGTCGTGCCCTAGCCCTAGCCGCGCCTGCGCCCTAGCTCTGTCCGCGCCGTCCCCGTCACTCCGCGTTGGCCCCGTTAGTTCGCGCCGGCCCCGCTAGTTTGCGCCGGCCCTGTAGTTCGCGTCGGCCCCGTCGCTTCGCGCTGGCCCCGTCACTTCGCGTTCCCCTCAGTTCATGTCGGCCCCGCTAGTTCGTGCCGGCCCCGTTGTTTTGTGCTGGCCCCGTCAGTTCACGCCGGCCCCGTCACTTCGCGCCGGCCCTGCTAGTCCGCGCTGGCCCCGCTAGTCCGCGTCAGACCTGCTAGCTCGTGCTGGCCCCGCCACTTTGCGCCGGCCCCGCTATTTCACGCCGCCCCCTCCCCGATTTGCGTCGGCCCATGCTCGCACCGGCCCCTATTTGAGCCGACCCCAGTTCGCCCCGGCCCCTGTTCCCGCCATGCCGCCGTGCTGCTGTACTGCCGTGCTACCGTGTCGTTGTGCCGTTGTCAGCTGCTGCAGCCGTGGTGATGGCGGATGTTGTGCTCCGCTTGGACGCGGAGGGTCGGGCGATCGACTTTGAGGCGTGGCTCATCGACCTCCGCCGTCAGCTTACAAGTCAGGACAGTACGGCTACTCCCTGGCCTTCCATGTCGCCAGTAAGCTTCCTTGCCCTGCCGCGCCTGCTGCTCTCCCTGATGCTCCCACGTCTGCTGAGCGTGAGGCCTTTGCCGCTGCTGAGCTTGCCCGAGCTGTCTAGGAGTCGCGCGACGCGGTAGCGCAACTTGCTACTAGTTACGCCCTCCCCCTGTCTGACTGTTCCCGCTTTACTACTGTAGCAAATGCGAAGGAATACTTAGATGCAGTCATCGCGCCCTATTCCACTCCCCCCTCCGCCTCAGCCGGCCATTAGATCCTCCCCATGTTGTTCCTGGATCTTGCGTCCTTCCCGACTGTCGCTGACCTTGCCACTCATCTGCGCGCACTTGAGACTAGTTACCGTGTTGCTAGCACTGAGGCCCAGCTTACTGCATTTCCTCCTCCCCTCTGCTCTACCCTTTACCTCATTGTCATGCACCTTCCTTACCGTCTTGCCACTGCCTGCGACCACTTCCGTTGTTTGCACCCGATGACCTCACCCTTCCCGCCTTTGTCACCGCCCTGTCCGCTATAGAGACCCGCTAGCGCACTATCGCTCAGTCTAGCGGTACTGCGGCGGTCCCTATCTTCCAGGGCTGTGCTCCCTCCTAGTGCACTTACTTTGACATCTCTGCCACTCTTGCTGAGATGGCTCATGCTGTTGAGACCGCTACAATGGCCTCAGTGCCGGCTCATCAGGGTAGGGGACGTCGAGCCGGGGGGGCGGGCGTGGTGGCAGGAGGGATGGTGGGGGTGGCGGAGGTGGCGGAGGTGACGACGGTGGTGGAGGGGACGGTGGTGTAGACGAGGGGACTGGGGCTGATGCCCCGGTGCAGCAACAGTAGCAGCAGCCGCAGCAGCAGCAGCAGCAGTCACAGCAACAGCAGCCGTGGGGACCCCCGCCGCCGTGGTGGCCTGGCGGCGCTAGTGGTGGTGGTCGTGGTGGTGGGCTACACAGCTCGGTGTTGGTTGGCGGCTCCAGTGTGGTGACCTGCCAGTACCAGCTTCAGTCTGGCCCCCGCCACGACACCGTCTGCGACCATCTCAGTCACACCGCCGCCCACTGCTACCGTTGCCTGAACGACCTCTTTCGTCTCCGCTTTGGTTTCGCGCCGGACCCCCTCGATTAGTACAGCCTGGTGCATTGTCATGTGCCTGTCTTTGAGCTAGATTTGGATCAGTGCTATGTATGTGATGTATGCAGATGACTCTAGTGTAGGTGTTTCCACGGTGTGTAGCATGGGTTCCTCTGCTGTGTCAGGCGTAGGACCATCTGCCTTGTTTAGCCTTGCCTCCACTCTAGCTCCTCTGCCTTCGAAAGCCATCGCTGCGCTCTCTTTCACGCACTCGGATGCATCCGCATGTTTCATTCGCGACCACACTACGCTCACGGCGCTTGCCGCCCCTGCCGCTGTAGCGCTTGCTGACCCTTCCTCAGGTCCTCTAGTTGCCCATAGCTCCACTACCCTTCCCTGTCGGGCGGTTCCCTCGAGCTCCCTTAAAAGGCTTGCACATCCCCTCGTTCTCCAGGAACCTAGTTGGTGTCGGCTATCTTGAGGACCTCGGCGTCACCACTACGTTTCTTGGACACGAGCGGTACGCAGTCTGCACCAAGGCCGCCACTGGTGCCCCTCTCACCACGTTCCCCTGGGACCCAACGGCCGCAGGTTTTGTCGACCCTCCTCTGGACCGGGTCACCTGGTGACGCATCTACATTCCACGTCCAGACTTGCCTCACTCACGTTCATGCATCTGACATGGACAAGCTCATTGCCCGCACTGTCCCCTGTGTCTTCCTTTGCTTCCCCCTAGACGCGTCTGACTGGTACTTTTACCACCCGTCGTCTCACCGTTTCTTTCACTCTCGCGACGTCACTTTTGATGAGTCTGTCTCCTTCTACACCCGCTTTCCTCACCGATGTCTCCCAGTTGCCTCGCCCCTGTTCCTGGTCCCCACTCCCCCGGTAGCCCCTGCTCCTCTCCCTCCCCGTCCTCCCCTGTCTCGTGTGTCCCACATCACTTCGCTCCCGTTGATCCTCCCGGTGGAGGAGTTGGCTGACTCTGGGTGCCCTGCGGCTCCGAGTTTGCCGCCTGTCTTCGGCCCGGTTGCTCCTCCACCGCCACCGCAGCCGCAGTGGAGTGTTCTAGGGGTGTTGGCGTGGAGCGTCCCGGAGGTAGCTGTGGTGCAGTTGGAGGTTTTGGTGTCGGCGTGGAGTAGCAGCAGCAGACGCCTCCGGTTTTCGTCTTTCACCTCCTCGGTCTTCCTTCCCACGACCGCCCGCCTGCGCCTCCCCCACCGCCGCCTCCCCCGCCTGTCTACGGCCTTGTGTTTCCTCCTGTGGACTCGTCCCCGACTCTTTTCCCCCCTCGTTCTCCTGCTGTGTCTCCTCCCTTGTCTCCTGACTCAACCCCACCCTCCCGCTGGTGGTCTCACCGTGCCTCTCGTGCCCGTCCTGTCTCTCCTGTTCACCACTTTCACCCTATGTTGCTCCATTCCCACGCGTCTCGTGCTCCTCTTCTACCATCGCCTCCTCAGTTGTCCGCTTCCTCCGTGCTGCTAGTCCGCTTGTCCCTCGCATTCTTGCTTCTCTTGTTACCGAACCTTCCGTTCCTGTCTCCAGTCTTGACGCTCTTGTCGCTGCCATCGTTGACTTTGCCTTTACGCGCCGCCTTGACTACGCCACCATTTTGGTTTCTGATACTGTCATCCTCCGTCCGTCAAGGGTGCATCTCCCCTTGGAAGTGACGTTCTAGAGGACAAGCAGTACGAGCTAGCTTTCCTGTCCGAGGCCACTCCCCATCTCTGCTCCATGCTGCTAGTCCCTGAGGGTGACCCAGACGCCCTTGATTTCCAGACCCCTCCCACTTACACTGAGGCGACCTTGGGACCTTGGGCCTCTTAGTGGGTAGCTGCAATGGACGTGGAGATGGCATCTTGGAGATCCACCGGCACCTACGTCGACACAGTTCCCCCACCTGGGGTGAACGTAGTCGATGGTCTGTAACTCTTCAAGGTGAAGCGCCCTCCTGGAGAGCCGCCAGTGATAAAG